CCTGATAGACTTTATATCAAATTATTTCCTCATTCCACTACCACAAGTTGGTCTTTCCTGTAGACCTCAATGTTAATGAGTTCAGTCTGAAACGGATTCTATTCCGACAGCGGCGAGGGGTAGTTCAATATTAAGAACGTGTTGGCGTGTGATGTCGCTCGCTGTGAAATAATAAGTGAGTAATAACGCACATTGTGCGTTATTACTGATAACGCATACATGCGTTCAACGACAGAAATCACCCGGCGTACGGTCAGAGGCTTGAGAAGGACTGAGGAGGGGAAACCATTGCGGAGAATCGCTTGGGAATTAAATTCCCAGAATTTAGAGGATCCTGAATTGGGCCCTCGATGAACCTCATTTGTATCCAGCCATATGGGAGCCGGCGGCATACACGCCCCCAGCATAAAGTAAAATGAATGGATAGGATACAATTCTGCCAGAGTCGAGGGATATAGGGAAGTTCAATGACCAGATCGGAAAAAGAATGCTAAGCATCTCTTGCCTATCATCGAAATGTCCAGGAATGGGAATAAGAATGTTGAGCACCTTCTGCTTGTCATTCTGCTGTCCTGGATAGAGGCTGACCGGTGTGGGTGTTCAACCCACTGGGTTGTTGTATGAGTGTGGCTGATACTCGACCAGAAAAAACTCTGTATGGAGCTTGCTGTTATGGGGTATCTACGGTCGATTTTGGAAAGGGAGCGGTACCTAAAAATATTGAGGATTGACGAGCCCGGTCTTGCTTTGTTCGTGCGTGCAGTCCTGTGTACGTGCGTGCCCCGCAATTGATGGTGTTTTTTCCCTGAGCCATTATATTAAATGACATTGATACGCTCAATCTCAGTTTCACAACCGTAAACTTGTCTACTCGTTGTTAATATGGCGACACCTGAGGAGCTCGCTGAGCTCTCTGAAGCCCGTAGAGAGTTGGCCGCTACGCGCCGTTCCCTCCGGGATACTCGCGAGGCTCTCAACAACATCATCTCCGACGAGAAGGATGATACTCAGCAGCTTATGAGCGACCTCGCGTCCAAGGAGGCCAGTAATCTTTCTAAGATAGGTAGCCTCGAGGCCCGTATTGCTGAACTTGAGGCCCTGGCTGACCGATCCGTCAGCGAGATATCACGGAAGGAAGGTTTCAGTCGACTCTCTCCACGGTCCGAGGAGGAGGAGCATGAGGTGTATACCACTCCGAAGTCACGCTCCTCACGATGCCCGGCAGCGACAGTGACTAAGTTATGTCTGCCTCAACTCTGTGAAGCAACAGATCTCCAATCGCACTATCATGCTATTGAACACACCTTCGTTGAAGCAGGAGCCGCTGAGTATCACCAGCAAGGACATTTGCTAGTGCACGAGGAGGTCAAAGTATCTGTCATGACCAAATTCCTTTCCTCTCTGAGTAATGTCCGACCGGTCCATAAGAAGGCCACTGTAGCGTCACGTACCCACTCACAGGATTGGAATTTGGTCCGCAATGTCCTTCTGACGAGGTATTGCCGCAGATCAGTGTTGAAGGAGACCTACGAGGAGAAGTTACGCAATCTCACATTTACAGGGGTTAAGCAGATCGAGGATTTCCTGGAGTCCGCCGCCGATATCTACCATCTATTCACAGATGTCTACCCGAACGACGTGTCGGAGCGACGTTCATTGACAAGACAAGTTCTGGCGAAGTTCCCACAGCATATCATTGAGAAGGTTATGGAGAGAATTTGCCAGCTGTCGGGGTTAGCCTCTGTCGATGAGG